TCTGAGCTAGATGGCTGCTTGTTTATCTTCAAGCCTTTAAGACCCCAGATGCTATATCTTTTGATAGCTGGGCACCATCAGCTTTCTTCACATTTGCTTATGCACACATTTGTCTTTAGCGATCGTGTCGGGAAGGTGTGCATCATGGAATGCCAATTTAATAGAACAACGTGTTCTTGCACTGAGTAAGTACTTGAGGATTATTTTTATTTATTAAAGAATTTAACTTGACAAGATATAGAAACGGTTTGTTAGAATTATTGTCAGGTGCTCTGGAGTTGGTTCCCCCTCATAGGGAGGCAATGTTCAAGGTAAAGAAACACTGCCTGGTCCTGTATCATCCTCAAAATTGTTCTTATGTTTGAGGCTATTGCTGCAGTTAGAATTAGAATTTTAAAATATTATGTTTATGTTTTCTTAAACATATGATACATTTCACTTATCCTCAGATAAAATGCTGGATAATGTATAAAAAATCCACTGGCATTGAGCCCATTCTGATTCAGAGCAACACTGTAGGTCAGAGTATAACTGACTGGGGGTTTCTGAGACAGCCTCATCTTTCTCCTGAGGGAGATGATGATGAATTTGAACCACTGACCTTACCGTTAGGAGCCAGAAACTTTTAAGTGGTGTCTTATAAAAGGGCCAGAATAGACACAGGTTCCCCCAGAGGAAACCTAAACACCATGGGAAGACCCATCTACAAGAACTTCCCAGGGCTGCAGAAGCTGCTACCACGAGCTCTGGCTTAGGGACAAGTGTGAGGTTGGAGCAGGATGGAGCAGAACTTCTTTCTGCTGTGCAAAGGGTTGCTATGAGTCCTAGCCATTTAGATGGCACTCAACACCACCTATCAACGGCACCCGAAGCTGAGAGACAAAAAGATTCCCTAAGCGTTCTGAGAGGGGGGAAGAGAGTTTAATCCTGGTAACATGCTGAATTCATATCCCTGAGTGATGCAAATGATTGAGTACTCAACTACAAGCCGAAAAGATTGAAAGCACTAAGAAGTGCCTCAGAAGACAAGCCTGTGACCTGCTTCTGAATGTTACCCCCGCCCCCCCACCAAAAAAAACCCCCAAACACATAGATGTCAAGTCAATCATGGTGCCTGGCAACCAGAAAGGGCAGAACAGAATGGTCCTTTAGTGTTTCCAAGGCTGCAGGCTTCCAGGAAGTAGACTCACATCTTTCCCCTGTAGTCAGGGCTGGAATGATCCACCTTTCAGTGAGCATCTTCCTTTATTCAGGAGAAAGACCAGGCTTGCTACTCCGGTAAAGAGCGACAGGCTCAGAGACTCTCCGGGGCAGTTCTCCCCTGGCCGGTGGGGTCGCTGTGAGTCAGCGCTGACTCGATGCCCTGAGTGAGTGGGTGAAGCTCCTCCTCCTAAAGGTCACAGCCTGAACCCTGCAGGGCCAGACTCGTCCTCGCAGACAGGTCTCAAGAGCTGGACTTGACTTCACGGTGCCTACAACAAGCTTCCAGGCTGTGAGACCAGCCCTCCCTACTCTTTCGAGTCATCCGTGGGCGCTGGGGTTTCTTTTGCTTGCTTTTTCCCCTGGGTGCTTTTTTTCAACCCTGGTTGAATTCTCAAGGAAAGTGCTTTATTTTCCTTGCTTTACTCTATAAATAGATTTCTTCATTTCATTCAGGGCGTTTCTGTCTACATGACCTATATGGACGTAAACACTGGAGGCAATTATTCTTTCCAGGGGTGCTGCTCTTTTCTCTCATTTACACTCCACGAGAGTGGTCTCTCCTAGCAGAGGATGCCGACGATTTCATGTAACTCATGTTCAAAACCCAGGTTTCTCCAAGGGAGTCCTCGCCTTCCACGTAGCACAGTAGTAGCCGTGTTTGACAACAGCTGCCTAATGGCAGCTCTGCGATGCTGTTCCATCGGACACTTGGTCCCCGAACACACTCTCGCCACTGCTTTTTGAGGAAGATGCTGCCACAACACAAGTGGCCAAGAGAAGACAGCAAGGGCAAACCACAGCTTGACTTCTGAGTGAATGTGGGTCAGAAATCCACTAACTGTCTCCACCTACCTCTTATTCCAATTCACTCAAACATTTTTGACATAAACCAATATTGGCCAAGCCATCTTTTTGTGCCTCGGGCTTCTTGAGCTTTTTTATATAAATCACGTCTGAACATTTATTTGCCTGGACTTTCTTACATCTAGTCTCTTTCAAAGCTAAATAAATCAATAACCTCTCACAAGTTGTACTGACATTTTTCTCTTTTTCAAATCATCAAGAAGACACAACCAAGTCCACAAAACACTGTAAATGTGACCACTGATAAAGCATGCCGACTGGGTTTCATCAAAAGTGGACATTTAATAGAAAATGCATGAGCCCTGCTGGCACAGAGGGATGCGCATGAATCTGCTAAGTGCACGGTCTGTGGTTCAAACCCCCCAGTCAGTCTACAGGATAAAGACGGGGCTGTCTGCTCCACTCAGGGTTTATGGCCCCAGAAACCCACAGGGCCGGTTCTATAGGGTCATATAGGATCACTGAGTCAGAATCAATTAGATGGCAGTGAGTTAAAATAAAAATTCTATTTCATAAAACTTTTGATAATCCTTAAAATAATTCTTGACTACAAGAAAGCGATTTGGGGGAAAATAATCAAACTTTATCCATTCAAAAGATGCTTCTACATTCTGAAATAACTTAAGTGATTGCCTACACCACAAAGGAAATTCAGAATATTGAATAGCAATTGCTGTTTAAATGATTATTTCTTCAATTACTATCGTTATTTTGTTATAGCTTTAAATTCCAGCAGACTGTTTCAAAATGCCATGTTTCCACTCTCCTGAAAACTCTGAGCCATTATGTTCTTCCTTATATGAGGTTCTAAAATTTCCCTGTGACAGACAATACAAAAACAGCTGGTGATATTAAGCTGTTTAAGGGGAAAAAATTTTTTTTCTAGACCTAAAAGAGGTATCATTTGACTTCAACATTTAGGATACTTTACATTTTGGTGCACTTTACAACTAAGCTTTCAGAAAATTAGAATATAATCCATATATATATTCACACACAAAAAATAAAAAGAGTGTTCTCTTAAGAAATGCTTTTGTTTCTTTGTGGTTTTATAAGGGCGCACTACCTAAGGACGTAAGTACAAGTAAGGTATTAAAGTGACAAAGTGCTCTCATTTTGTCAGAATTACACAGATGCCGGCATTTGATACTGAACCCGGGGCAGTTTTCGCCATTAGAGGTGGACTCCAGTAAGCAACTTTTGCCTCCTCGGCATATGTAGGAGCACAGAAGTGTTCCAAACAAAATCCTCACTAACTGTTCAAAGACAACTTCTTGATGACGGGGGAGTTTAGTCTCGGAAACACTGGCAGTTGTCCAGGTGTATTTTACTTTACTGGGGCAAATGTTACATTTGAAAATCTAAGCAAAGGCAAAGCTGACGCCTTCTTTCACAAATACATCAAAGAGTGGTTCATTTTAGGATTCTTTAAAAGAGCAAACTCATCTAACCTATTAAACACGTGAGCGGATGCACACACATATTTTTCTCTCCTTTTTCCCCCAGGAGCACTGCTTACTTACAAACAGAGATTTATTTCACTTCTCACTGCCATGGAGTCAAGGCCAACTGATAGAGACCCTGTAGGACAGGATGGGACTGCCCTGTGAATTTCCAAGACAGTTACTTTTTACAAGATCAGAAAGTCCCATCTGCCTGCTGAGGAGTGGCTGGTAATGCTGAACAGCTGACCTTGTGGATTGCAGCCAACCTGTAGCTACAACGACAAGAGGGCTCCTTTTATTTCATTTATAAACCCTCACGTTTTTCTTTGTCACGCTTGTCTCTCCTTCAAGGCTATCCACTTTGGGATCCAGCTGCTCTTTAAGAGGCATTCGGCTGTCATCAGATAACAACCAATTTGATTGTGCTCTTACAATCAAGATTCAAACCAGTCAACTACTCAGAGTGGTTCTCTGGCCCCCCTGTCTTGTGCGTCAGGGCTTCTGACTTCCCCAGGTCATCGGGTCCCCTTAAAGATGTTATTATATAATGAAATAAACTTACTGTTTTCTTTAGCACTTTGAGAGCATAAGGCTTCTGTGTCCCCTTCTGTTTGCATCTGTACACAATGGATGTAGCACCCCTTGAGGGGGAAAAAACAAAAAGAAAATGTTATGCTTTGGACACTGAATGAAAGGGGACAGCTTGGAGGTCATTATCTCTTCTAGTGACCTCCATAACTAACAAGTGCATGCTATAAATCCCACCACAAAACCTGCCCTACCTGCCCAGAGTATTTCTTTTTACGTTCTTGTATACATAGTTTACTCATAAGTATTCAACATTGTTCATTCTTCTCTTTTGCTCCTCCTCTACTCCAGAGGGCTGTTGCCTTTCTTAGACTCTAGAATAGACCATGTCCTCAGCTGAACATTGTTTTTAAGGGTTGCCCATCCAGTCCCAGAATCCATGAATTTTACAAAGGTAGGAGTTTAGACGAAACGAAGTCATCGCTGCAGAGAGAGGTTTCAGTACTTTGATACAAGGTTCAAAAATACAAATGTAAATGGTCAGAATAGAGTCAAGAGAAGGCAGGAGCTGATATTAGTAAATGTTAATAGCGAATGATTTTCATCACATTTATTAAGTGATAATATACACACAGATAATGAAGAGTTCTGAAAATGGACTAAATGAAGACAAACATAGAATTATTGTTTCCTCATTTCTAATTGTAACATGTTATTGTTCTTTTTTACTCTCATTTCCTCTTTATTCAAAATTTTTGCAGTCCAATAGCCAAATATTTTCAATGCATCTTGACTACACATCCCTTTCCGATGGCAGATGGTGGTTATATATATATACTATATAAATTAAAATTTCTGCATCACTAGCTTTAGTGATTGGTGCATGCATTTGTGTGATTTTTTTAAATCAATTTATTAAAGTACAATGTTTTAGATGTTTCATGGAGCTTCCAAAACTCACTGCCACCTGGTTGATCCTGAGTCACAGTAACCCTGTAGGACAGAAAACTGCCCCTTTGGGCTTCTGAGATTCTAAATCTGTAAGGGTGCAGATTGCCTCTTATTTCTCCATTGGGGCAGCTAGTGGGTTCAAAGCCCTGACTTTGTAACTAGCAGCTCAATGTGTAAGCCCACTAGACAACCAAGGGCTCTTTGTTACATAGCTAGCATATGTAAGTGTAGAATGTATGAAAACAATAGCACAAAAGGATAATAGGGAGGAATTGGGAGAATACCATTTCTTTATTTTATTATTAATTAGGAGTTAATACATATATTATATCATTCCATAGTTCAACCACGTCAAGCAGAATTGTACAATTGCTATCACAATCAGTTTCCAAACATTCTTTATCTTCCTGGACTCACTCCTAGATATCATCTCTCTTTTTACCCTCCCACCCCATAACCCTTATTGTATTTGCTGCCCCTATATTCATCAATGCTGGGTTTCATATACTGAAACACAGAAAAACATAACACAACTTCAAGAGGGTGACCTCCAATGGCATAACCCCTCTGAGACACACCCTGATATAAACAAACAAAAATGCAGAAAATGTTGAAAACCAGATCAGGTCCAGCGTGCATCAGAGGGGGATCAACTGACACAGTTTAACTGTCCACGTCATATTTATGCCTTTGCTCTTCTATCCTCATCTCTCCAAGGCACTCTGGGTAGTAACCACTCTCCTACCATGCCTCAATTGTGTGTAGAGGGGTTCACCAGAGGCTTATTTCCCATGCATAAAAGAGTATCATTTCTTAAGTCCTTGCACTACCCATATAACTCAAACTCACTGCCATTGGGTCCATTCTGACTCCTAGTGACCATATAGGTCAGCAGTGTATTATTGGAAGATACTTTGATTAACTAAAGATGTATATCGTGCAATCTAAGGCAATGACTAAAACAATTTTTAAAGAAAAAGAAATCATTCTCTAATATGGCACTAAATGGAATTATCCAAAAGGAAATGCAGAGATGTTTGAAAAGAATGAAAAAAGAGATTGAAAGAAAAAAGTTAACCATGTAGTACATTTCAATCAACTGCTATTGATAACTACATTAAATATGAACCTTCCAAGACTGTTAATGAGGAAGAGGTCAATTACTCATGAAGACATTTTGCTTCATCGCATGAAGCAAAACTGATAGAATGGACAGAAGAAATACAATATCCTACAAGTATAGCTGAGACTCCAACCCATCCCTTTCAACAATTAACAGACTAAATAGACAAGATGCCATCAAGATTACAGATGTGAACAGCACTATCGACCAAACTAACGTAACTGGCATGTAAAGGAAACTCCATACAGAACTGGCAGATTATGCATTCACTTTCAAGTAGGAGGACTTACATACTTGACTTTTGGATTTACTACAAAATGACTATACTCAAGACACTGGAGTTAAAAATAGAAAAGGTATAAAGATGCAATAGAAAAAATAATCCAGAAGTAGTCCTAAATTTACATGGTCAATTGGTTTCTGACAAAGGTAAACAGATAATTTAGTGGAGAAAGGCAATTCTTTCCAACAAATGGGTCTGGAACAATCAGATACCTGCGTGCCAGAAAAAAACAAACAAACCCCAAATTCGTAAAAAAAAAAAAAAAAAAAAAAGCAACTTTATCATTCCTCACACCCTGGAAACCAAACGACCCAATGGATTTAGACACATAAATATAAAATCTAGAATACTACAACTTCTGGGAAAAAACAAAAACAGTCTATGGCTGTGGATTAGGCAATTAATATTTAAATATAAAACTATTAGGTTCGCTGCAAAGATAAACGGAGGCTAGGCCAGAGAGAAGGAAAAAGAGAAATATATTCTGTGCTTCCCAGGCGAGATTCCCAGACTCCAGTAGGGAGTCAGGAAGTTGCACTGCCCAGGAAGGGGGGGGGGGCGGCAGAGAGGGAGACTGAGTCCTGAACTCCCAGGCGAGCTCCAGGAGAGGTTGCACTTCTCTGTGGTGGAGAGCAAGTTTTAAGCCGGTTAGGTGAGGAGGGTCAAACAAGAAGGGAGTGGGTAGAAACCTCAGGCGGGCACACAAGGAGGAAGGGAGAGGGAGCTGCAGCTGTGGGGGCTCTAAGCCACCTCCATCCATACAAATTCTGAGGTAGGGTGGTGCTTTGATCATTCTGCCTGATGCCAAGCAGAGGGCTCACTGATCTGGGGCCCATGGAAGTTAGCAGTCTTGTCCTATGGGGCAGGCAGGCTTTCTCTCATGTCCCCTGACCGGTACCTGACCCAACCAAAACCATAGAGCAAAAAAAGAAAGAACCTAAATAAATTGTACTACATCAAAATTAAGAATGTGTAAGATATGACAAAATAATAATAAGTTATAAATTATCAAGGGTTCATGAAGGAGGGGTGAGCGGGGAGGGAGGAGGAAAAATGAGAAGCTGATACTAAGGGCTTCAGTAGAAAGCAAATGTTGTGAGAATGATGATGGCAACAAATGTACAAATGTGCTTGACACAGTGGATGGCTGTATGGATTGTGATAAGAGTTGTATGAGCACCCAATAAAATTATTTTTTTTAATTTAAGCATTTTTACTCTTTGAAAGTCACAGAATAGAAGTACGTATTAACAAATCACTTTACCAATAAGGAACTTGAATATAGAATATATAAAGAACATGCAATAAAAAGCACAAAAATTGGGAAAAGATATTGAACAGTGATATAACAGGCAAAAGACTAATTACTAAAATTCTACAGTATACTGGAAGCCTACAACAACAAAAAATACTAACGACCCTCTGAGAAGGTGGACAAAGGACCTGAACAGATGATTCACAAACGAGGATGCCTGAATAGCTAATGAACACCTGAGGAAATGCTCTTGTTCACTAGCTATCCTGGAAAAGCAAGTCGAAACATCCATGAGATACCATCTGACATCATAACCACAGTCCAATTAAAAAAACAAAATGGAGAACAAATACTGGAGAGAATGTGGTGAGACTGGAACGCTTATTCACTGCTGGTGGCCTTGTAAACACGTACAGCCACTTTGGAAAGCAAGATGGTGATTCCTAAAACAGATGGGAATTGACATACCATATGACCCAGTAATACCATTACTGGGCATAGACCCCAAAGAAATAAGAAAGAGATCACGAACAGACATATGCTGCCCCCTGTTCACTGCAGCACAGTTCACAATAGCAAGAAGTTGCAAACAGACTACCTCCCCAACAGTAGAGGATTAGATTTTAAAAAGCTCTGGTACATATATAATGGAATACTACGCATCCCTGAAAACAGCGATGAAAACATGGAGGGGTGTGGAAGACATGCTGCTGAGTGAAGTCAGTCAAGCACAAAAGGGCAAATACTGTCTGAGTCCACTGCCGTAGGAACAAGCAGAACGGGCACAAGCTCAGGCTTGAACAGCATCCAGTCGGCTGGCTTGGGGGGTGCGGGGGCAGCAGACAGCTAGGCAGAGAGCCTGACTGGTGCCAATGAACTAGACACGATCAGCTCTAGGTAAGTCATTTGAAGGTCACGTTGTCAGAGGGTGCCTCACATCAGCTGGGATCAAATGGTCAAGGGGGGGGGGCAGGGGTTGTTGTCTACCGAGTGGCTGCCAGGTCGATCTATGATGAGGTCCCCCAGCCAGGGAGACAACCCTGTCAGAAGGATGAGGGTTACTGGTGGGAAAATCAGTCCGGAGAGGGCAAAGGGAGAAAACACCTCTGGGGGAGCACAAATGTATCACTCTTCGTAGGAAACGACGGAGCAGTGCCCTCCAGCTGGGGGAGAAGAAGACTGAAAATGCTTTGGGGGACCCTAAAGGGTGGAATGTGCCGAATGAACCACGTTGACCCGGCCTTCTGGGTGCCTTCTGAGGACTCAGGCCGGATCCCGTGGATCGCTGGGACATTGAATCCTGGAGCTTCAAGGTGCAAGCCTGCTCCAGAGGCTGCATCAGTGAAATGCAATGTGGAAAATCTACTGGGTGCACTGACTTCTACCTCAGACACACTTGGACCCTAAGGATTTAAGACGCAAAAACATGGTGTCTGGGGAAGCAGAAGACAGCTGTACCATGATTGTTGAACTGCTGGTAGGCGGACAAACATGGTCTTGC